ACCAGCGAAGAGATTATTTGCCACGTGGCACATCGCACCCGCACATAAAACATCCGGGCTGCCCGGCCCGTCGAAAAAGTTCCGGAAAACTGTGACGTAGACAGGACGACGGTAGGTCGGAGGGGGAAGGGGAGGCGGGAGGAGGGGTGTGACGGTAATCATTGCGTCGCCGCCGTTACGGAGGTGACCATTGGAGATGGTGATATTAGTGGAGAAGCGGGAGACGGAGATGAGGGCACGTGGCGAAGATTGGAGTGTGCAGTGGTCGATCCAGATGTCGTGAGACGCTCGGATGGAGATCAGATTCTGAGGTGCTGACAGCGACCGAGGAACGTCAGCAACTGATGATTTTGGGCAACAGGTGAGGAGGGGAGGGCGGGAAAGGGAGAGAGGTAAGAGGTATAAATAGGGGAAAAGAGGGGGAAAGAGAGAGGTGGGGGGGAGGGGGAGTGAGGGGCGTGCGCAGAAAGGCGAAAGGGATATTGTGGGGAGCCAAGGCAGCTGGATGTATAGTGCAAGTGGGGGAGTGTGCAAGGCGAGTAATGTAAAGCAGCTTAGCACTGTTCAGCTTCACTTGACAGCAGAGGAAAAGGCCACAAAAGAGAAGCTTTAAAAAGATTCGGCGATTGGCGGATGCAGCCCAAACGGGGGAAGAGATAGTTGAAGAGAATAGGAGCAGCAGCAACTCACGTTGCAAGTTGTGGATGATAATACTCCTGGACCCTCGAATAACCACCGCGCCGCCAGCGACTCGCACTCTCGCGCCGCGCCCATCCAATGTCACGTGCGACCCCAACCGCAGCGGCCCCCTCAACCTGATCTCCATGTTCCGGCTAAACCGCACGTATACTCCAACCGCTCGGTACCGCACTAAACCCCACCGCAGCGTACCCTGCGTCAGGCTGTCGTCGTCGGACGAGACAACGTACTCCGCCCGTCCGTACCCGCCCCGGGCGGCCTGGCTGTAGCCGAGCGCGCATTGGTGGAGCGGTATGGGGAGCGCGAAGGCGCACTCGTCGGGGAGATGCGCGGAACGGGGGACGAGGCGGTTCAACGGGTTGTAGTACCGCGGCTTGTGCTGGTCGTTGCGCTGACCGTCGCTGCTGTTGTTTGGGTAATCGTAACTGCCGGTAACACTACTGCTGGTGGTGCTGCTGCTGCTGCTGCTGCCGCTACTGCCGCTGCTGACGCTACCGTCATCGGCTCCGCTGCTGACGCTACCGTCATCGGCTCCGCTGCTGACGTCGACGCCGTTGTTATTGCTGATGCTGTAACCGTCGCTGGCGAAGGCGATGCTATTCGAAACCGTCTCACGAACTTTAGTCAGTGCCCGCGTCGCGACTGACGCAGGCAGCGAAACAGGCGCACGCGATGGTCGCGCGTCCTGGAGCGGTTCTAGAGCACCGGTTGAAGTTGCTCGATGGATCAAATACGGGCGCGCGCGAATCCGATCACGAACATGTGGTGGCAGAGTGGCAGCGCAACACGCGACGGGCAGCAGGGCCAACAGTGCGAACAAACACCACGTATATATCCGGGATAAATTAAGGTGAAATCCGTTCCGCGTCCTAGCTCTTAACGATCTTGACGTACTACGGCACGCGCTCGGGTAGCAATGGAGTAAAGGAAGTTCTACCAGAGGCGCTCCTAGTAGGAGAAGCTGACGGGGCATGGGTCAAAATATACGTGCATTTCGGCTTCCTCCGCTATGGCCTCGTAGTCGGAAATCATCCAGCTCCTGTAGGCAGAGAGAATGCTAAAATTGTTATCGCTCCCTGAGCGAAGAATGGGTTTTCTTCTTACTAATCATGCAGCTTTGAGGGTATGTGCGGAAGAGAAGCAACATGAGCGAGGCGACGGGTCACCCACAGAGAGGGTAGATGAAGTGAAGAGATGTTTTGGTTGGAGGGTGGGTCGGTCCATGTAGTGGAGAAGGTATTGGAGGTTGGATGGGCCTAGCGAAATGCAACACGGTGGTTGTAAATTTCTTTAGCCCATTGCGAGGCGCGCAAATGTTCAAACGAATTCGCAAACTGCCGCAACTGGCGCCGTGCGAGGTGCTAGCGTGAGGTTTTCGTGGTTGATCGTGAAGCAATCCAAGACATTGGCGAAACACCTTACTAGAAGAATTTAGCGAATTGAGGAATACACCATTCAATACATATGAACACATTGGTTGCTAGCTTGCTAAACAAGTGGAGCTAGCTACTATCAACACACATCGTTATGACGTAGGCAACATAGACCCTGCAACACGCACTTGATACGACGCCGGAGCACCCGGCGCAGCTTCACCCACTTGGGTCAACTGAACAGCGGCAGACGGCGGAGGGGGAATGGTGATATAAGCCAGGCGGCTAGGACCCTCAGGAGGCAGAAGGGGCATTGCTGAACCGAACGGCGTCATACCCACAGGCTCCGACAAAACACCGCCCTGGCCATTACGTACCACGCTTCCATGCATCCCCTGCTGCTCTGGAATGTCGCTGAGATTGCTTTGGTTGTTTCCCAGCAGGCGGCTCGGAATGAGGGAGGTTCGGCAGAGAGGGCAGGAGGAGTTGGTTTTAAGCCATGCGTCAATGCAGTCCTGAGGGCAGGCGATAGAGGAGGAGAGGAGGGGGGACGAGGAGGAGGGGAGGAGGGGGGACGAGGGAAGGGGAGGGAGAGGAGCAGGTGAGTGAAGTTCAGAGAATATTGACGGTATTGCAGAGTGATGGAGGAGAGCTGGGAACAGCCTTATGGTTGAGGATGGGGGCGGGTGGAGAGCAATTCTGTTGCGCATGCCTTACTGCATCCCTGCTATCCACAAGATCCTGAAGAGAAAATATTGCAAGAACTCACCACGCTCTCTCCTCTCTGTTCTTTCTCCCTCCCCCTGTCTCTCCCTCCTCCCCCCAAACTCCCCATCCCCTCCCTTCCTTCCTTTCCCTCTCTCCCTCCCTCTCTCTTGCAGCCTCTCTCCGCTGTCGCGCTATCTTTCTTTCTCCCTCACACCCTCTCTTTTCTCTCCTTCTCTTTCACACAGACACACCTGGTGGAATTGGTGATTGCATGCGTGAAGCTGTCTGATGACGTCACCAGTCTTGTACTCCCCCAAACACACAATGCACTCCTTCTCGTCGTCCCCCTCCTCCCGCCCCGCTCTCCCCCCCGCGCCGTTCCCCTCACTCTCTCCGCCCGTCGCTTCCGCCGCAGCCGACCTTCGGCTGCTGCTTCTCCCGCTCGCCCCCAGAGCTCCGCCTTCCCCCACTCCGCCTCCGCCCACCCCACGTTCTCCAGCTCCCCCTCCCCCATCTCCGCCAAGGGCGCTGGTCCCGCCAGCTTCAAGGTCATCTCCCGGCTCGACGTACGTAAAAGACTTTCCGAGCGTCTTAATAATGTGGTCGGGCACGCCGGAGCGCATATTCCGGCCGTCCATGAGCAACCCGCGGTTCCCCACTGGCTGCAGGGCCTGCGGGTCGGGATCTTGCGTGGCGGCTCTCTGGTGCTGCCACGTGGCACGCGCCTTTACAAAGGAGAGGACTAAAACGAGGATGACGAGCAGGATGAGCACGGCGACGACTGCGATGTTGAGCTGTCGCAGAGAGATGACGGATTCGTATGCGATGGTCGCGGGCGACGTCGCATTGTCGGGGGAAGGCGGGGAAGGCGGGGGAGGCTGGAACTGCGGCGGGGGAGCAGGGCTGCTGGTGACATTCGTTGCCGCGAGTACCATATTGGACGGTTGACGTGGCGCAAGAAATGCGGGTTAGAGGAAGAAACAAACGAGGGTATGTAGAGCCTTAGCGGGCTCAAGCCCAGAGTAACACTAGACCTTAGACTGCGCTACGCAAATTATGGGAACCGTGACTATCGAAACTGGTGACTGCACTTCATGCTTGGTCTACTTTCGTGTCAGATTACCGGCCTGGTTACATGGTTCGCTATAAGAAGGCCATGAAAGCATGCCTTGAGGAGCCGCCAACGCATCTACCTCCGCTGTGGTCGAACGGAATAAGAGACTGCTACGGAGCGGAAATTGCGGGAGCAAAATCGGGGCCGAATAGATTCTTCCACAGTCCGGGTTGGAGGAAGTGCGCGAGGGAGGGGGGGATGGGCGTTTGGTTTCCGCGCCTACCCTGTGGCGGGGGAAGCTGGGGGCAAGTGCGTGACAGACAGATTCTTCTTTCGTTCGGTCCAGGCTTGGCATGAGCTAGGCGGTGGTCAATTGGCGGTGCGCCCCATGTCGAACCGTAGAAAATGGTTCGGCATCTGGCTAGGTTTGGGTTTGGAACTTCCCCTTCATGACCTCCAGGACACATCGGGGTGCTCAAGCGAGAAAAAAAAAGGAAACGAAGCACACCAGACAGTCAAAGGTGTAGCTGTTCATTTATTTTCATTCATTTTTCATGGTAATTTTTCCTTGTTCACTGTAGCACCTCCGGAATATCTCATCAGCATCAATGCGAGCAGTGGGTATTGGCATAGTTGGGAACCCAAATTGACCGAACCAAACCAAGCAAGCACAACTACACCTGAGGTGCGGTCAGTAAAGAAACTATTCTGAACCCCTGGCAAATTCGTAAGCCAAATTTCCAAGCACCTGATTGGGTCCCCGAAGGGCCTACAAACTCGACTGGGTTTTTACGTCAGCCTCGGAGAAGTGGTTTGGCCTGGTCTTTCCATCTGCGACCCGGTTGTGGAGATTCGGTAGTCCGCGAAGTACACTTCAATGTAGTAATTATATGTATGTTTCTTATATGCCTTCAAACAACGTGGCGACTATCCCGAAACAAATACCATACATGCCCACGAGCCCTATCGTCCCTAATCTGTAGCAGCTTTCCCATTTCTTAGCCATCGGTAACGAAACAGAAGTTTGAGAGAAAATGGGAGGCAAGTCGAAAGGGAAAAGCAAGAAGGCTACTGAATCTCCCTCGCCAGCACAGTCCCCTCAAACTTCCCGCAATGCTGCTAGCTCCCCTTCCGCGTCCCGCGCCGAATTCTCGTCGAATGCGCAAATGCCCGCGTGCTTCGACGACTTGTTTGGCGGAAAGAGACTCGACGTGAAAATCTCCGCAATAGATGACGTGGCAGCCCGAGACACTTCAGCAGCCGCCCAGATATGGCTCCACCCTGCAGCGATGACGGCTGATGACGTGGCCGCGGGCGACATGGTCGCGGTAAGGCCCTTCGAGAACATCTACTTGCCGTCGGCGGATCCAATTCATTCAGCCGCTATGTACTGGTTATCTCAAGGGCAGAGGGGCTATTGAGTCTCAGATTCAGGGTCCAGGGTTTGGGGCTTATGCACGGCTTTGGAACGTTCGCCTGAATCATCCACCCGAATCTTTTCCTCCCGCCCCTCCGTCTCTTCCTTTCCCAACCTTTCCCAGCTCACCTTCTTCCCCCTCCCCCAACTCCTTTCCCCCTTCCCCCTCCCTGTCTCCCTCCCTCTGTTCCTCTTTCGACCGTTTTCCCTAATCCACCAATCAGGTGGTGTGCAGCGATTCCCATTCCGCGCAGCCAATCCCGCCGCTCCAGTTGGCACAGGAGGCTCTACAGCTGGCAACGCCTGATTGGACGCAGCATCCTGATTGGCCGGCAATCGCCGCCCGATTACCCGGGCTGTACTGCGCGTTGGCCACCGTGTGGCCGGCGCCGAAGATTCCCAAATCCTGCTGCCGCCTCTCTTGGCAGCTAGCGGACAGCCTAGGCCGCCCGGAGGAAAGCACGCGCCTTTATGTCTTCACTCTCAAGGCCGGACGGCAACAGAATCTGAGCCTAAGTTCCCCACAAGCGCATGGTGAACAGGCGGTCGTGCAGCCAATCCCATGCAGACAGCTGGCGCTGACGTGGCTGGAGCCGCTAGATTGCAGTGCTGGTGCTGATGGGGACAGGTCAGGAGCAGCAGGAGGGGAGGGAGAAGGAACGGAATCAGGAGCAGGAGGAGCATCGCAGAAAACTCCCATACAGGGAGTAACAGGAGTAGCAACACAGGCAGCACCAGGATCAGCAGCAGGAACAGCAGCAACCTCGCTCACCTCTCCTGTACCCTGTACCCCCCCTCGCACCTCCCAACGTCCCATCGCCGCCTCTTCTTCCTCCCCCTTCCCAACCTCCTCCCCCTTTGTAGCGCCCTCCCCCTCCCCTTCCCCCTCCCCTTCCCCTTCCCCTTCTCCCAGTACCCCCTCCAATATTGCACGGCGCCTCGAGCCTAGAACGCCGGGCAGTGTGAAAAATGTGTCGACTCCAGGTAGCGCTGTGACTCCGGGCAGCGCAAAAAAGGCTCCCTTTATCAGTGAAGAGGAGATGGAGAGAGCTCGTTGGGCAGCTGTGAAAACACTTATCGGGCAGACGGAAGGAAACACTGGGACCAATAGCAGCAGCAGCAGGAGCACTAAGCTTCAGGGCATTCGGCTTGTGGAGGTTTTTGCTGCCCGGTGGCTGCTGGGCCGCACGCTTCTGCCTGGGAACATTGTGGTGGTGCCTGTGTGCGGGCAGGACTGCTGTTTCGTCGTTTCCCATGGCACTGTAGCATCAGCAGAAACAGCATCAGCAATGGAAACAGCAGCAAGAACAGCTGGAGAATCAGCAAAGCAAGCAGCAAGGGCAGCAGCAGCAGTAGCATTAGCGGCAGAGCCAGGTAGACCACTGCAAGTGGGTCCCCAGACCACTGTCATTGTATCCTCTCCCCCTTTAGTGTCACCACAGGACAGAGGCGCGGGCACAGCAGCAAGTGCAGCAACAGATGCAACAGCAGCAGCAGCGAGAATCCCTCTGCCGCCGTTCCTACTCACTCCTGCGGCCACCCTTATTGGAGCGAGGGAGAGGGAAGGAGAGAGTGGCAGCTGCAGTGGAGAAGAGAAGGAAGGGGAGAAGACGGAAAAGGATGAGGATGGGGAGGAAGGGAGGGGGGGAGGGGCAGCGGCGGTGGCAAGGCGGGTGGCGGGGGACTTGAGGGGAATCACGTTGGGGTCGGTGGGAGGGTTGGAGGAACAGAAGAAGGCACTCAAGGAGGCTGTGCTGCTGCCCCTCCGTCACCCGGACCTCTTCCACAGGTATGGGATGCCCAGAGCTCTTCCACTGGTATGGAGTACCCGGACCTCTTCCACAGGTATGGGATGCCCAGAGCTCTTCCACTGGTATGGAGTACCCGGACCTCTTCCACAGGTATGGGATGCCTGGAGCTCTTCCCCAGGTACGCATAAGCTGAGTATTGAAAGCTCACAGGCATGGCAGGGAACGGATGTGTATACATCCAAAATCCGAAGGGAAGTGCTACCGATGTGTTTTCCTGGAAGTGCTACGCTGCACAGCAGCGGTGGCATTGCATGGAGATGCGTCATTTACCCCGAGCTCTGTTCGGTCCATTGTGACGCTCTGTTTGTTGCTTTACCCCGAAGCTCCAAATTCCCGAACCTACATCCACACCACGTGTGGGATATCATTGCATCACCTTTCCCCCCCGCCCCCTCTCCCCTCCCACCCCCACGATTCTCTCCCCCACTCTGTTACCGCTCACCCGACACCACCAGGTATGGCATCAAGCCCCCCTGGGGGATATTATTGCATGGGCCGCCCGGCACGGGCAAGACGTTGTTGGCTCAAACAGCCACCGTACCCCTGCCTTCCCCCCTTATTCCTTCCTTTTGGAATATTTTCCCTGCACAACAGGTACGGCATCAAGCCGCCACGCGGGATATTATTGCACGGGCCGCCCGGCACTGGCAAGACGTCGCTGGCTCGGGCAGTGGCGGCGGAGGCTGGGGCGGCGTTGTTTGTCATTAATGGGCCGGAGCTTGTGAGCGAGTTCTTTGGGGAGAGCGAGGAGGCTCTTAACGAGGTGTTCTCTGCCGCCCAGGAAGCAGCCCCTTCTATTGTGAGTTGTGTGGTGTGTTGGTGTGGATTGGTGTGGCGTGGTGTGGAGTGGTGTGGAGTGGTGTGGAGTGGTGTGGAGTGGTGTGGAGTGGTGTGGAGTGGTGTGGAGTGGTGGGCCCATAGACGGGCTGGACGCCACAGCCAGTGCCGCAATCGTGAGCGAGTTCTTTGGGGAGAGCGAGGAGGCTCTTAACGAGGTGTTTTCTGCCGCCCAGGAGGCTGCGCCTTCCATTGTGAGTGGTGCAGTGTGGTGCAGTGCGGCATGGGGTGGTGTGGTGTGGTATGGGGTAGCCTAGATGCAAAGCACCTGTCTCACCGCATGGTGGCGGCCCTTCTCACCATCCTGGATGCCGCCTCCTCTCCCGTACTCCCCTCCACACCCCTCCTCACCCTTCCTGACCCCTTCTACCCTCCTTCTCACCCTTCGTCACCGCACAGCACCCAGGTGTTCATAGACGAGCTAGACGCCATAGCCCCTGCCAGGACTCGAGATGCGGAGGACCTATCTCACCGCATGGTGGCGGCCCTTCTCACCATCCTTGATGGCGCCTCCTCTCCCATGCTCCCCTTCTCACCCCTCTTCACCGCACTGCACCCAGGTGTTCATAGACGAGCTAGACGCCATAGCCCCAGCGAGAACCCGTGATGCAGAGGACCTCTCTCACCGCATGGTGGCGGCTCTTCTCACCATCCTTGATGGCGCCTCCTCAAGCGGTGGAGATGGGGGGGGGGGACAAGGCGAGGGAAGAGGGGGCGGAAGAGGAGAAGGGGATGGAGGGGTGGGAGGGAAGGGAAGGAAGGCGGTGGCGTTGGGGAGAGGGGTGGTGGTGATTGGGGCGACCAACCGAGTGAATGCGATCGATCCCGCTCTCAGGCGACCGGGGAGGTTCGATCGCGAGGTGGAGATCGGTGAGTGGTGTGAGGAAGGTGTAGATTGCGGTCGAAAGTAGTCATGGAGGTATAATGTGGCATGGCCCGTTGTCTACCCCAATCAAACAAATCTGTGTAAATGGGCTTCATGTTTGGTGATTCCACCCCAAGCTACTCTGATTGAACTTTTGAGTATTCTCAAAAATGGGCTTCATTGCAAATGATTCCACCCCACGTTGCATGATCTCTGTGCTTTTTGTTTCAGTTCTTCCATCCGAATCGTACTGTTCTTCCTTTCAGGCATCCCCACTCCTTCCGACCGCCTCGCAATCCTCAGCACCCAACTATCCTGCATGGCGCACGCGCTGCCGCCCGAGGCCGTCCACGTCATCGCCAGCTCAGCAACGCACGGATTCGTGGGCGCTGACATCAGCGCGCTCTGCTCTGAAGCTGCCGTGGCAGCCCTGCGACGAATCGTGGGGGAGAAGGAGAGGCAGGGAGGGGCAAGACAAGGGGAGGAGGACCAGGAGGAGGGTAGAGAGGAGGGTAGGGAAAAGGAGCAGGGCTGTTCTGCGGATAGTGGGGTTGCAAGCGGTGCAGAAGGCTCGTGTGCGGTGCAGCTGGCGGTGTGCGAGGAGGACTTTGAAGTGGCCCGGCGACGCATCCGGCCCAGCGCCCTCAGAGAGGTGCGTGGGGCAGGGGAGGGGAGGTGGGGGTGGGGGTACTGAAAATGCTGCCGGTGCTGCCAGTGCTAGGAGTGCTTGGGGTGCGGAAGGCCCCTGTGTGGAGTGCAGCTGGCAGTGTGTGAGGAGGACTTTGAACTAGGAGACGCATTCGACCTAGCGCTCTGAGAGAGGTGCATGGGGCAGGGGAGGGGAGGTGGGGCAGATGGGGAGGTGTGGGTAGTGGCGGTGCTGCTGAATGATGGTTGCTCCCCTCCCATATGGTTGTTGCGGGTATGCACCCCTGTTACATGGCTGCTTTGCTCCTGTGTGCCTCTCGTCCCCCACTCCCCCTCTCACTAGGGGTAGCAGTGGAGGCACCCTCAGTGCGTTGGTTAACCTGACTGGCACTGCGTTGGAGGGCTGGAGGGAATAAAGCAGCGGTTGAAGGAGACGGTGGAATTGCCGTACACACGCGCACACCAGATGAGAGCCATTGGCGCCACTCCTCCTGACATGGTCGTTTTGTTCCTTTGTGTTCCACGCCGCCTACCCACCCACCAGGTAGCAGTGCAGGTGCCAACAGTGCGATGGGCTGACATTAACGGACTTGAAGGGATCAAGCAGCGGTTGAAGGAGGCAGTGGAGTGGCCGTACACGCGCGCACACAAGATGAGAGCCATCGGCGCCACACCCCACTGACATGGATGTTTTGTTCCTGTGTGCGCCCCGCCACCTACCCACCCACCAGGTATCAGTGCAGGTGCCAACAGTGCGGTGGACCGACATCGGAGGGCTGGAGGGAATAAAGCAGCGCCTCAAGGAGGCGGTGGAGTGGCCGTACACGGGCGCACACGAGATGAGATGAGAGCCATCGGCGCCACACCCCACTGACATGGATGTTTTGTTCCTGTGTGCGCCCCCTCCGCACCCGACAGATGGCAGTGGAGGTACCCACTGTGCGGTGGAGCGATATCGGGGGACTCGAAGGGGATAAAGCGAAGGCTCAAGGAGGCAGTGGAGTGGAGCGGACGTACCCCCGGGCACATGGCTGTATGTGTCTCTTCCGACCCCCCACACACACCCCCACCCAACAGATGGCAGTGGAGGTACCCACTGTGCCGTGGAGCAATATCGGAGGACTCGAAGGGATCAAGCAGCGGTTGAAGGAGGCAGTGGAGTGGCCGTACACGCGTGCACATGAGATGAGAGCCATTGGCGCCACCCCTCCGCGTGGGCTGCTGCTCTACGGACCCCCGGGCTGCAGCAAGACGCTCTTAGCTAAGTATGTTACTTAAGTTGCACGCTAGTGCAGGCCCTTGTGACAGATGCTGGAGTTTCCAATTCCCAGTTTTTTGTGCTGGATTGGAGAGCCTTGCTTCCCTTCTCGTTCACCCTCTCTTTGCATGCTGTGGAATGTGGCATGAGTGCAGGGCAGTAGCAACAGAAGCAAGGCTCAACTTTCTTGCAGTCAAGGTGAGTCAACCAGGGTCCACGTGAGTCAACCAGGGTCCACGTGAGTCAACCAGGGTCCACGTGAGTCAACCAGGGTCCACGTGAGTCAACCAGGGTCCACGTGAGTCAACCAGGGTCCACGTGAGTCAACCAGGGTCCACGTGAGTCAACCAGGGTCCACGTGAGTCAACCAGGGTCCACGTGAGTCAACCAGGGTCCACGTGAGTCAATCAGGGTCCACGTGAGTCAACGTGGGTGTACAAAACAAAAGTAACCGAAGCCTTGTTCTCTTGAGCCCAAGCCGCTAGATGACGATCAGCACTTTCCACCTCATCCCCCTACTCTTTTCTTCTTCTCCCCGTTTCAGCCACAAATCCTCTCCTCATTGCAGAGCTTGATGAAGCATGTATGAGGTGAGGCTCCTCATTTTTGAGGCGCCTCAAAAGTCCTCATTGCAGAGCTTGATGAAGCAGTCCTTCTCCCCCATTTTTATGAGGTGAGGCTCGTCAGAACTAGTCCTTCCCCCCCTCTTATTTCCCACAGGGTCCCGAGCTGTTATCCAAGTGGGTGGGCGAGTCCGAACGAGCTGTCCGAACCTTGTTCTCCCGAGCCAAGGCAGCAGCTCCGGCGATCGTGTTCTTTGATGAGATAGATGGGCTGGCAGTGGCACGCAGCAAAGCAGGAGGAGGAGCATCGGGAGGTGTTGGGGACAGAGTGATGACTCAGCTGCTGCTGGAGATGGATGGTGAGTGGCTGTGCGTGGGTCATAATCGTTCAGTTATTACTCTCAACGCTGCCAGCATGTGGGAGGGCCATCGGGAGGCGTGGGGGACAGAGTGATGACTCAGCTGCTGCTGGAGATGGACGGTGCGTGCCTGAGTTGATTCCTTTTCATTGGAGTGGCTTTGAGAGTTATCCACAGCAAAATGGCCGGGGAAGGAGCGTCGGGAGGTGTGGCATGGGGGACAGAGTGATGACTCGGCTGCTGCTGGAGATGGACGGTGCGTGCCTGAGTTGATATACCGGGAGGGATCTCTTGAGACCGCAGGGTGTTTTTGAGAATTCTCAAAATCACCCTGCAACAAAGTGCCTGAGTTGATATACCGGGAGGGATCTCTTGAGACCGCAGGGTGTTTTTGAGAATTCTCAAAATCACCCTGCAACAAAGTGCCTGAGTTGATATACCGGGAGGGATCTCTTGAGACCGCAGGGTGTTTTTGAGAATTCTCAAAATCACCCTGCAACAAAGTGCCTGAGTTGATATACCGGGAGGGATCTCTTGAGACCGCAGGGTGTTTTTGAGAATTCTCAAAATCACCCTGCAACAAAGTGCCTGAGTTGATATACCGGGAGGGATCTCTTGAGACCGCAGGGTGTTTTTGAGAATTCTCAAAATCACCCTGCAACAAAGTGCCTGAGTTGATATACCGGGAGGGATCTCTTGAGACCGCAGGGTGTTTTTGAGAATTCTCAAAATCACCCTGCAACAAAGTGCCTGAGTTGATATACCGGGAGGGATCTCTTGAGACCGCAGGGTGTTTTTGAGAATTCTCAAAATCACCCTGCAACAAAGTGCCTGAGTTGATATACCGGGAGGGATCTCTTGAGACCGCAGGGTGTTTTTGAGAATTCTCAAAATCACCCTGCAACAAAGTGCCTGAGTTGATATACCGGGAGGGATCTCTTGAGACCGCAGGGTGTTTTTGAGAATTCTCAAAATCACCCTGCAACAAAGTGCCTGAGTTGATATACCGGGAGGGATCTCTTGAGACCGCAGGGTGTTTTTGAGAATTCTCAAAATCACCCTGCAACAAAGTGCCTGAGTTGATATACCGGGAGGGATCTCTTGAGACCGCAGGGTGTTTTTGAGAATTCTCAAAATCACCCTGCAACAAAGTGCCTGAGTTGATATACCGGGAGGGATCTCTTGAGACCGCAGGGTGTTTTTGAGAATTCTCAAAATCACCCTGCAACAAAGTGCCTGAGTTGATATACCGGGAGGGATCTCTTGAGACCGCAGGGTGTTTTTGAGAATTCTCAAAATCACCCTGCAACAAAGTGCCTGAGTTGATATACCGGGAGGGATCTCTTGAGACCGCAGGGTGTTTTTGAGAATTCTCAAAATCACCCTGCAACAAAGTGCCTGAGTTGATATACCGGGAGGGATCTCTTGAGACCGCAGGGTGTTTTTGAGAATTCTCAAAATCACCCTGCAACAAAGTGCCTGAGTTGATATACCGGGAGGGATCTCTTGAGACCGCAGGGTGTTTTTGAGAATTCTCAAAATCACCCTGCAACAAAGTGCCTGAGTTGATATACCGGGAGGGATCTCTTGAGACCGCAGGGTGTTTTTGAGAATTCTCAAAATCACCCTGCAACAAAGTGCCTGAGTTGATATACCGGGAGGGATCTCTTGAGACCGCAGGGTGTTTTTGAGAATTCTCAAAATCACCCTGCAACAAAGTGCCTGAGTTGATATACCGGGAGGGATCTCTTGAGACCGCAGGGTGTTTTTGAGAATTCTCAAAATCACCCTGCAACAAAGTGCCTGAGTTGATATACCGGGAGGGATCTCTTGAGACCGCAGGGTGTTTTTGAGAATTCTCAAAATCACCCTGCAACAAAGTGCCTGAGTTGATATACCGGGAGGGATCTCTTGAGACCGCAGGGTGTTTTTGAGAATTCTCAAAATCACCCTGCAACAAAGTGCCTGAGTTGATATACCGGGAGGGATCTCTTGAGACCGCAGGGTGTTTTTGAGAATTCTCAAAATCACCCTGCAACAAAGTGCCTGAGTTGATATACCGGGAGGGATCTCTTGAGACCGCAGGGTGTTTTTGAGAATTCTCAAAATCACCCTGCAACAAAGTGCCTGAGTTGATATACCGGGAGGGATCTCTTGAGACCGCAGGGTGTTTTTGAGAATTCTCAAAATCACCCTGCAACAAAGTGCCTGAGTTGATATACCGGGAGGGATCTCTTGAGACCGCAGGGTGTTTTTGAGAATTCTCAAAATTTCCCTGCAACAAAGTGCCTGAGTTGATATACCGGGAGGGATCTCTTGAGACCGCAGGGTGTTTTTGAGAATTCTCAAAATCACCCTGCAACAAAGTGCCTGAGTTGATATACCGGGAGGGATCTCTTGAGACCGCGCCCTCTTCACACACTCTCATCCACCCCCCTCTTTGACCGCGCCCTACCGAGACCCGTCCATTCAGAAGTCGATTTTTGAGTCGACTCAAAAATCGACTTATCACAGACCGCGCCCTACTGAGACTCGTCCATTCGACCCATCTTTCGCGCTTTTCCCCTCCGCACCCCATTCCCTCCCTCTCAGCCCTAACCCCATCCACGCAGGTGACAGTCATCGCAGCAACCAACCGGCCACACCTCTTGGATCGAGCTCTCCTGAGGCACTTCCATTCATCCCCCTTTTTGAGGCGCCTCAAAAAAAGCAACCAACCGGCCACACCTCTTAAATCGAGCTTTCGTGAGGCACTTCCATTCATCCGCTTCTTGTGCCTCTCTTTCCCCGTCCCTCCACACACCCCACACCCTCCCTGCCAGCCGTCACCCCCTCCACCCAAGTAACAGTCATCACAGAAACCAACCGGCCAGACCACTTAGATCGAGCCCTCCTAACGTCCTTACATTCAGCACTCTCTTGTGATACACTTTCCCTGCCCCTCCAACCTCCACACACCCCACACCCTCCCTCCCAGCCCTCACCCCATCCACTCAAGTCACGGTGATTGCAGCAACCAATCGTCCAGACCTCTTAGACCGAGCCCTCCTGAGGCCCGGCCGCTTCGACCGCCTCCTTTTTGTCCCGCCGCCCGACCTTGCCGCCCGAGAGAAGATATTTGCGCTCTGCCTGCGCGGCACGCCGCTGCATGCTGACGTGGACTCCTGCCAGCTCAGCTGCCAGCTGGCGGCAAGAAGCGAGGGGTACACGGGCGCTGACATCACCGCAATCTGCAGAGAGGCCAAGCTGGCAGCGCTGGAGGTGAGTTGGTGGTGAATGGGGATGAGCTGGCAGTGGGTGGGGATGAGCTGGCAGTGGGTGGGGATGAGCTGGCGGGGTTGGGAATGAGCTGGCAAGGGCTGGGGATGCTTACTTATATGTTCTGTGCGTATGTGCTCAGTGCTAAAATGTTACAGTGCTTACATTTAGTGTACTTGTGTTCAGTGTTCATTCGGTATACACACTCTGCCTCATCCAAATTCTTGCCCTGTTTTCAGGAGGATATTTCCGCAGCGTGTGTGAGCATGCGACATTTCGATAAAGCGCTTGGTACAGTGAAGAAGAGTGTATCGCCCCTAGAAGCTGCATTCTATGCCAACTACCAAAGAGGATGATGCAATGAAGAGTGAGTGTGCATGTCATTTTTATACGAACGAATCTGCGTATCAGTGTACCATGTATTCCATATTGGTTCAGAGAGCATCACTCTTTCTTATATTCTATCATACGGTACCAATAGCTGATCTGTGACACAGTGGTGTATAATTTTTATGGAAATAAGCATGACATTGCAACATAGCTTTATAAGCAAATCGACACAAACGGGCACAGCACAGCTACAACCACGGCAATAAGCAATAAGCTACGCATTGATACCTTACTTACTACTGTAACTATGTCGGCAGCGTCGGCAGTGAATGGGTGATATGCTTAGAGTACCAGGGGCAAGGACAGCGCAGAGCCAAGCCACAGCCATCACTGGCAGTGGGTGGGGATGAGCTGGCGGTGGATGGGGATGAGCGGGTGTACACTTAGAGCACCAGGGCAAGGACGGCGCAGAACAGAGCCACAGCCATCACTGCACTCATACTGCCACTGTGAACTGATGCTGCCTGTGCTGCTGCCTTGCCACTGCTATTGCTCGGGGGTGATGCAGCAGCAGTGGCGGTTGGAGGAGGGAGGGCAGCAGTGGGTGCAGGTGGGGCGGTGGCAGAGAGCGGTGCGGAGATAGTGTCCGAGGGGATATCTTCCAGTGATGCATGGTTCCTGCAATGGGATGCAAGGGGAGGAGGGGTGAGGGAGGGGACAAGCTTTGAGACGTCTCAAGACTGAGCAGCGGGTGCAGGTGGGGCGGTGGCAGAGAGCGGTGCAGAGATGGTGTCCGAGGGGATATCTGCCAGTGATGCATGGTTCCTGCCAAGGGTTGCAGGGGAGGGGTGGTGGATGGGGATACGTCATGAGCCGTCTCAAGATTGAGCAGGGTTTAGGGTTGCAGTGGTGCAGGGACGGTGTCAGAAGGAGTTTCTGTGGGGGGATGTCTGGGTGGATGCAGGGGATGTCTGGGTGGATGCAGGGGATGTCTGGGTGGATGCAGGGGATGTCTGGGTGGATGCAGGGGATGTCTGGGTGAATGCAGGGGATGTCTGGGTGGATGCAGGGGATGTCTGGGTGGATGCAGGGGATGTCTGGGTGGATGCAGGGGATGTCTGGGTGGATGCAGGGGATGTCTGGGTGGATGCAGGGGAGGAGGGGTGTGGGAGGGGGAAGGGGAGAAGTGGGGGAAGGGAGGGAGAAGGGGAATGGTGGGGGAAGACAGAGGGAAGGACGGAGGTGTGAGAGGGCTGTGAGGAATGTGAGAGGAATGTGAGAGGAATGTGAGAGGAATGTGAGAGGAATGTGAGAGGGCTGTGAGAAATGCGAGAGGAATGTGATCTTGCAGGGGTGGTAGGAGGGGATGCAGTGTGAGCATGTGTTGAGATGGTGTGGCAGGGTAGGCGTGTGGTGTGGATTGGTGCAGTGCGGTCCAGTCTCAATCTACTCATCAGGATTCATGACTTTCTGGGCGTGTTGGGGCTGAATGTGATCTTGCAGCGCCGGTAGGTGGGGATGAAGTGTGAGTGCCAGCGCAGGGCTGTGCTGTGGAACGGTACAGTGCGGTCGAGTCTCAACTCACTCTACAGGGCAGCTGTTGACGACTTTCTTGGGCGTGTTGGCGCCGAATGTGATCTTGCAGGGCTGGTACGTGGGGATGAAGAGTGAGTGTGGCGCAACAGGGTAGGGGTGTGGTGCGGTGCAGTGCGGTCGTGTCTCGACTTACTCGGCAGGGCAGCCGTTGACGACTTTCTTGGGCGTGTTGGAGCCAAATGTGATCTTGCAGGGCTGGTATGTGGGGATGAAGTTGGGCCCACACACGTAGAACTTGGAGAGCGTAGGGCTGTTGGGGTTCAACCCGAGTGTTTCATTGTCGTACGACGCACAGAAGTCGTAGCATGCGTCCATCTCTGGTGGGAGTGAAGTGAAAGAAGGGGAAGGAGGTGGGGGCAGGGGGCGAGGGGAGTGTAAGCAGTAGGGCTGGTGGGGTCCATGCCAAGCGTGTCGTTCTCGTACGATGCACACAAGTCGGAGCACGAGTCCATCTCTGGTGGGGGGGGGGGGGAAGGGGGTGTTGGGGGAAACGAAAGGGGGTGGGTTGCTAGCGTAACATGGGGCTGGTGGGGTCCATGCGTACGATGCACACAAGTCGTAGCACGAGTCCTTCTCTGGTGGCGCACGGATTGAGGAGAGAGGATGGGGACGTGGGGAAGGGATAGGGGGGGTGAGGTGAGGTGCTGGTAACGATCTCGTCCATCTCCAACTTGTGGCAGCAGCAATGGGCGTGTGGGAGGGTGGGTCTCCAACTGAAACGCATCACCCAATGGGAAGAAGCATTACCTCGGCCCTGGCATGCGGGGTAGTAAACGATGTAGTCAATGCACATCTGGCCCTCCGTGGATACATCTGGCCCTCCGTGGATACATCTGGCAAAGAGAAAAAAGCCCCCCCCTGCTAGAGTGCACGGGGAGAAATAGCACTACCTTGGCCCTGCTGCTCCCTGTGCATGGGAAGAAGGAATTACCTTGGCCCTGGCGTGCAGGGTAGTAGATGAGGTAGTCAATGCACATCTCCTCCTCCGTTGACGGCCCTCCCACCGTCACCTGCATGCAGTAGTGGGTGGAGAGGAACAGCACAGGGACAGAGTTTATTGTAAAGGGGGGGTTGTCAACAATAGAGCGGAACTGGCACTGTAAGACGCGAGGTAAGTAGGGGGAGGAATCCCAGGCACAGATGGTACCGGAATGAAGTAAAGTTGGAGGGTATTGAAGTGCTGAGAAACGTGCGTACATCGGAAGGTAATCAAACCGCATGTTGGTACACCTGGTCCCAACAAGGGGACAACACAGGGTAATCTATTCCAACGCCCACAGACCCAAATGTTGGGTAGGAAGCATGCATGTTGTGGTGTGGGGGGGAGGGGGAGGCACGTACGTTGGTGCGGTCAGAGGAGTCCCAGACACAGGAGGTGCGCAGCTCATCCCCTGGCAGCAGCTCAAACTCGGGCGTGAACGGGATTGTCTGCTGTGATGCAAAGTCGCTATTTAGGGTGTGGGGGGTGTGGGGGAGAGAGGAAAGAGGGAGGGAGGGAGGGAGGGAGGAAGGGAGGGAGCGAGGGAGGGAGGGAGGGAGGGAGGGAGGGAGGGAGGGAGGGAGGGAGGGAGGGAGGGAGGGAGGGAGGGAGGGGAGGGAGGGAGGGAGGGAGGGAGGGAGGGAGGGAGGGAGGGAGGGAGCGAGAGGGGAGGGGAGGGAAGGCTCTAGTCAGCTCGTCTCCAGAGAGCAGAACGAACTCAGGCACGGAGGGAATGGTCTGCTGCGATATGAAGTCGCTGCGATGGCTTGGGGTGTGAGGGGTATGGGGTGGAGGGGAAGAGTGAAAGAAGGAACAACGGGGTTAAAAAAGGGTAAAAGGGGTAAAATGAACAAGAGCGATGGTTGGGTGATGAAGGGAACTCACTAGTAGTCCTGACGGCTGATGGTGGCGACTTTGCTGCCTTTTCTGAACACATCCGTGTATAACTGCTCATGGACGCATGGGGAGCATGGGGGCAGGGGGGCATGGGGGTATGGGGGAAAGGGGGATATTGGGGCATACGGACATGGGGACATGGATTTTTCAGACGTCCCAAACGTTGCAACCTTGCTACCTCCTCTAGTCACATCCATGTACAGATCATGGGGAGATACGGCATGGGGGCATGGGCAACAGGGCGCATGTGCAACAGGGGGGCATGTGTAGCAGGGGAGCATGGCAACAGGGGGGTGCAACAGGGGGGCATGTGTAGCAGGGGAGCATGGCAACAGGGGGGTGCAACAGGGGGGCATGTGTAGCAGTCTACTCATCCCTCACCTGTCGCCCCAGCGTGTGCAGGTGCAGAAAGGACCCAATGATCTTCACGCTCTCGTTCTTGAGCACCGCGGCACTGCACTCGCTCGAGCAGGGGCTCGCTCGAGTCCGGGAAGGCATGCCCTGTCCACCTCACCTTGGAATCCCTTCATTCATCCCTCACCTGTCGCCCCAGCGTGTGCAGGTGCAGGAACGACCCAATGATCTTCACGCTCTCATTCCCGAACACCTTGGCAGTGCACTCGCCCGGGCACGTGCTGACTTGCGTCCACGAGGGCATGGCGGGGGGGATTCTGATCAGGTACTCGTATGAGACAGGCCCCGTGAGCATGATGGACGCGTCCATGGAACGGAGAGATGGGGCGAGTTTCAGGTATATCCCCGAGTTGTCAATCAGATCTGCGCGGCCCTTGGGATTGGTGAAATGCACCTAAGGGGGCGGGGTGGGGGTAGAGGGAGGGAAAGAGAAGGCCACAAGGGTTTGTGCGTGGGGCAGGAGTGTGAGGGGAGGAAGCTTGGAAGGATTAGCACTAGAAATGGTGGTGGGAAGGAAGGCTCCAGGAATGGAGTGAGTTCAGCACCGCATTGCATCCCATTGCACCCACCTGCAGCACGAACTTGGTGAAGTAGCCGGGGCCGATGGGGTAGCCGACATTGGGCGGGAAGGTGAAGGGTCTGCCGCCCACAGCCCACACGGCGACAGTGGTGGCGCATGGCGTGTCGTGCAGGCAGTCAAAGGTGGCCCCTGCGCCCTTGAGATTGCCGTACTCCTTGCTGTACAGGTGGGGGAGTGTGTGTGTGGGGGGGGGGGGGGGGGGGGGGTGGTAGTGCAGCACAGGGTGTGTTTGAGAGCAAGGAGGGGGGAAAGTGAATTCTCTATGCGGAGTTCACAGAAGTGTCGTGCTGGCTGTAAAAGGAGCTCTGGGCGAGCGGCGGACAGGCGGGCGGGCGGCAGATTGGCGTGCTCTTTGCCCAGGGAGGGGAGGGGAAGGGGAGCGTATGTGTCGCTTACGGTTTGCAGCCGTAGATGATGGCATGATGGACGGCTGAGATGTCGGTAGAGTTGAGCACGGCACCCCACTCAACCGCATGAGTCTTGGTCTTGAGAGCAACGTCCACCACCTATGGGCGTCATAGATGGGCGCAGATCGGTGCAAATGGGTGAGGATCGGTGCAGATGGGTGCAGAGAGGGGCGCGAGCATGCAGAGGGTGCGCTCAAGTTAATGTGGCCTAGAAACGGTGTCACGCGGATTGAGGAGAAACCAAATGCCCAAGAACAAAAGGAGGCACATGGGACTTTCTGGGGCGTTTGCAGCTTTTGGGAAATTCGGGGGCATTCGGGAGGAGCATCGGATTGGGGAACATATGCGCAATGCGTGCTTGGAAAAGGCGCGCGAACGCACGGACCATTGCAGAAACGCCGCGCACCTTGCAGCGATAGGTCGTGAAGTCCGTTGGCAAACGGTAATTCGTGAACGTGAAATTGAGCATGCTCTCCTGCTGCTGCTGCGCCTGCTGCGCCGGCTGCTTCCCTGCCTGCTGCTGCGCAGCCAACCGCCCAACCGCTTCAAGAGAATCAGACGCAGCGGACGCGGAGGCGGACGCGGAGGGGGAGGGGGGAGGCGCGGGCGCGATGATGGAGGGGCCGGGAGCAGACGCGAGCACGAGGGCGGAAGAACCGCGGTCGGAGCTGTGATAGCTGACGTCAGTCGTGGCGCCCATCGCCCAGATGATGTTGTGAAGCTTCCCAGGAACAATCGGGCGGTCGTTGCAATCGCCCGTGTCCAGCTGGCGCCACACGTGCACGGTAGTCCACGTGTCGCCCGTGGATTGGTTCGTGGTCTGGCTGCCGCCCAGCACGTGCCAGTCCTGCTTGTCGTCAAGTGCGATTCCTTCGGTAGTCTTGTTGAAAATGAAGCGATCCGTCGCATACGCGCGGGCGTCGGACTGTGCGACCCATGCGACGAGGGCATCTGGTCGCACACGAATGAGGCGTGCAGAGAGGGCGAGAGCGGAAGCCATCCAACAGAGTGAGCGAGAGTGAAAAAGGAATGTGAGGTGGGATAGGTGAGTCGTCCAATACGACTCCTTAGGCGGACTCATGATGAATGCGTCTCTAGCGCGGCAGTCATGTCGGAAACGACTAACAAATCTTGCAATGGACAGGAAGAGCACGAAGCACACTCCAGACCCACCCGACCGTCACGAAGTATACTTATGGAGTCGTACGTGAGCCCACAATGTAACGAGCAGGAATTCCACACTTGTAGACGGATCGATTCGTACCTGAGCCCACCATGGAGCCAATCTCGGAGATGCCTATACCGAACCATCCCGTCGTTTTGGCCCTCACTGCCATTTGGATGGTCGCATCGCTATTGTTAATGGTCCAGTAAAGCTCGTAGCGCGGATCCAGCAACGCTACATTGGAGTAGGAGGAGAGCGACTCGGGAAGAGAAGTCGCGGATGCAGAACGGTTACAGAAAACCGTTGAGGATGCCACTACTAGGAGTAGGCAACACGAGGTTGTGGGCGAAACCCTGCAGCCGTGACTCCTGTGCGCCATAATCTCAAGTTCCTGCTTTGCTGGGTATTTCTGTGAAGTTTAGTTCCTGCTTTGCTGGGTATTTCTGTGAAGTATTCTGTCGATTCCGGGTTCCGCTGATCTGCGGCGCGGTCAAAGGGAATGAGCACGGCCGTCGGGACTCCGGACAGCGTTTACGAATGGGCTATGTGTAACACTGATGGGAAGTGTGGCGGTGTGTGGACTGAATCTCGCGACTGAAAGATGATTTCAACGAGTTCAGAACTTCAGAGTCCAGACGGGGACAAATAGACGTGCATTCGCGAGTCGATGGATCGTTGGTATTGTGTGGAAAGGAGGAACAATTTATAGGCCAGGAGGGGAGATGTGTTGAGCCTCGATGTTTGCCGAGTCGTAAGCGTGAAGAGTCCGATATGGAACCAGCTGATTGGTGTAGTGGATCGCTGAAGGAGGTGGTAACTCGTGTCCGCAAGTGGGTCATGCCAGCGTGGCACGTGAATTCATGTTCGTGGAAGTTCCGTGAGATACCCGATTGGTGGAATTGATTGTTGCATGACGTGAGTCCACAGTAGTACAGAAAGTTGCTAAAGTCATCAGTAATATCATCGGGGACCCCCACAACGCGAATTGCATGGAGCATTTTCCCAATACTTGTTTTGGGAAAAATAGACAACATCCCTATGCAGGTTCTTAGTTTGTTTTTGGGTTGCGAAGCAACCTATTACAATCGTTATGTACATTTTTTTTTTCATCATCCGAAAAAAAAAACTTGTGTACGATAGTAGACCAACTTCTACCGGCATGTATTTGTCATGGCAACTTAGCTACTAATCTTTTAAATGCTTAATTTGCCATGACTAGTTTTACCCTAACTCCTAGTATATGGATGATTACTGTGAATGCGTGGCTGTTTACCGGTATGTCATAATGAATAGGTGGTCGTGCATGAATGAAGTTGGAATACATGCATAATGATGGATATAATGACCCAAACATTGAATGATAATGCTTAAATATGATGCATATGCTCCGTAATGGTATGTGCAATATAAATGCGTGATAGTTAATTGACCCATACACTAGGCTACCGCATCCCCTGCCTAGCATGGGGGGGAAGTCAATAGCCCAGCGTTTGAATCATCCAACTGTCACATGAAACAACACAATCTGTGTGGTCTAAAAAAAAGGTGACGGCGGCGAACAGGAGACATCCCAGCTGCTGCTGATAGAGACGATGGTTGTCGGGAGAGAGCGGTGTGGTGTCTGGCTCGTGGTTAGGAGGAGGAGTGCGATAGGGGGTAGTGAGGTTGATTGGTGCGATGGAGAAGCGCTTCGCGAGTGTTTCAGCGTACTTGGCGGCGGAGAGGTGAATGGAGGCGGACTGAGTCACATTGAGGCCGAGAAACTGGGTGACGTTGTGGTTGATTGTCACCTCCAGTTTCTCTTTGATGTCAGCCTCAAACTGGTCCAGCAGCTCCGTGTCGTCGCCGGTGTAGAGAAGGTCGTCGACGTAGGCGACGAGGAGTACGAATTTCCCGCGCGATTCCCGCCTGTACATTCCGAGGTCGTGCGGCAGCTGAGTGAAGCCGAGCTCAAGGAGGACGGAATGGAGGTACTGCTGCCATAGACGAGGCGCCTGCTTGATTCCGTAGAGGGATTTTTGGAGGAGGCACACGGCGCCATCATTTTCTTCGAATGCGTGCGGCTGCTCGACGAAAATGATGGCATCGACGGGAGCGTAGAGGAAGGCGCTGCCGACGTCGATTTGCCGGAGCGGTCGCTGTTTGACGGCAGCGATGCAGATGAGAATGCGTACCGAGGTGTGGCGGCCGACTGGAGCGTAGGTGAGAGTGAAATCCACCAGGTGTGTTTGCTCAAATCCCCGCACTACCCAACGCGCCTTGTACTTGTCGACCGAGCCGTCTGCGAGAGTTTTGATACGAAAAACCCATTTGCCGCTGAGAATTTTTCTCCCCTTTGCCGATGACCGAGGGACCAACTTCCAGGTGCCACGTTTCTTCAGCGATGCGATTTCGGCGGCCATGGCTGCTTTCCATTTTCCACTGTCGGGGCCAGATAGGGCTTGGCGGACGGTGGTTGGTTCCTTGGGCGAGGTGCAGCGAACAGCGACGGCGAGGCCGAGAACGCGGAGACCGGTTTCGTCAGTCTTTTCGTAGTGAAGTCGGTCATAGTCGTGGAAGCTGGTAACTTCGACCACGTCATCGCTGTCGTTGCCGAGGCGGAGGGTATCCTGCGACATGTTGGGTTGTGGTAACTCGGCATCAGGTGATCGGCGCGCCTCACTGTTGTAGTCATGAGCCGCGCGAGTTGTATCGTTAGGATCGGGTTGGTGTAGAGGTACGAATATCGGAGTCCCGAATTGGCTTGTGAGGGGGATGCTCGGAGCGGAGTCCATTGGGGTGACATCAGGTGCGTCTGCATCCTCGGCCAGGTCAGCTTCGTCGTGTGACGTGGCGAAGCTGTGGTGGCCCTCGAAGAGCCTCTCGGGAAGTTTGTCGGCTTCCTGGTGCTCCTTAAAAAGGGGCAGAGTCAGCTTCTCGTAGAAGATGCAGTCACGTGATTTCGTCACCTCGTGTGTCGCGTAGTCCAGCACGATCCACGCCTTGAATTCCTTCTCGATCCCGAGGTGGATGCCCCATCGTGCCCGGTCAGCAAATTTTCCGGTTCTCGCAGTGTGTTGTCTGTACTGTACCATGCAGCCAAACACCCGAAGCAGGCGTGTATCTGCTTTTCTGCCCGTCCATGCCCGGTAGGGAGAGTTGTTGTTCTCGAGGCTTCACGAGGACAGCAAGTTGTGCAGCCGAACAGCGTGATTCATCGCAAACGGCCAATATTTTGTTGGGATGGCCGACTGCTTCATCAGAGCCCTCATCCGCGTGGCGAGGCTTCTGTTTGTCCGTTCTGCTACTCCTTGCTGTTGGTGAGCGTAGGGCAGGGACACCAGGTGCTCAATCCCCTTCTGCTTGAGGAGCTCCTTGAACTCGTCTGAGAAGAACTCCAGGGCTCCGTCCGTCTGCCAAGTTTTGAGTTTGAGACCGGACTGTCGTTCAGCCCGCTTCATCCACGCAATGAAGCACTCGAAGGCCAGAGACCTGCTGTCGGTGTTGACGGCCCAGACGTAGCGAGTAGATGCGTCGATGAAGGTAAGTGTGTACTGCTCCCCGTCGAGCCCCTCCTGGCTGAGCACCATAAAGTCGCTGTAAACCTTGTCCAGCGGCTTGTAGCGTTCATACCCTGGGGGCAAATCGGGGAACGGTAGGTGATTGAGCGACGCGGTTGGGCAGACGATGCATGGCGGGTTAGGTGAGTCCGCGGTGAGGGAACCGTTTCGAGGAAGGAGGAGCGCGTCGTTGTCGAAGACTCCGGCCTTGAGCGAGTTTTTGAGCGTGGCGTGGGAGGGATGGCCGAGCCGTTGGTGCCATGTTTCTGGGTCCGCACGGTAACCGACTGTCTTTTGATAATATTTTTGTCGCACAAAACTGCTGCAACATTTAGACTATCCTAAGGAGAAGGACTATCTGAAGAAGACAATGCTAGAGGAATGGGAAACTGGAACTATGGAAACCAAGGAAGAGATGACGGACTGGATGAAGCTAGGTCGAGATTACCTGCAGTCCTTGATGGTTGACATGGCCTGTAGGACTTAATTCAACATCATTATCTAGGTCGAAACGACATGGAAGTCCTAATTCGGCCTACTAAGCTTGGTCGAAGTGGCGTGCACGGGATAATTCGACCTAATATGCCAGCTCGATGACATGCAGGTGCTAATTCGACATAATACAAGCTTTCACATAGATAGTGGTGAGTTACCTAACTGAAAAAATGTTGGAAAACTAAATTATAAAGGAGGGAAACGAAGAGGAAAGAAACTAGATTTAGAAAAACTAGTGCAAAGGCTTAGAATACATACATTGAAGAGCTGGACTAGGGTGGGTAGCAGGAGCCACGGTAGCTGTGAAGCAGAGCCAGAGAAACGAGACACAATTCAGAGAGTTACCTAACTGAAAAGAGAAAGAGAAAGAGACCACGAAAACCTAACCACAATTCAGTCGTCGCAAGAACAGCAGTATACGTTTCGATGAATGTCAGCGTCGGAGGCTTTGTCGTAGATGGTAAGAAACGAACATATCGTTCGGAAGGTTGCAGATTCGAACCCTGAAGGTGGGACAGTTGCTGTGACTCTTACAAGTCGCTACTTGAACAGCTTTGTCAGCTCAGTGGGTAGAATCTGAGGAACACAACTTTTGGGATACTACCAGCTGATGGAGCATATACTCTAGGATGCATAAATGTGTCAATGTTTTATAATCTGAATCAAGTTATGCACCGGTAATGTACATAAAAAGCTTCGCAACCCTTCGACGACTTCGTCGCCTCTTGTTTTTTTTATACCAATTTTGTACTCTCTGACTACTAATTGATATGTTACACGGACAGCAAACAGATGTAATACAAGGCTCAGGGAGAGGTATCAAAAGGAAAAAAGGGGGAAGAGAAAGAGATTAGTAGAAAAGGTGGGGAGAAGGAAAGTCAA